CTAAGCAGGGCTAAAACGGGGGACTTTATGTTAGATGTATTTACTGCAATTTTTAGAGAGTAAGTAAAGGTGAATGTGGTAGTGTTTTGTGGTTACTTTGGGTATGATAGTACAGAAAGTTGGTGTCCCACTGAAGGCCACTTGGATGCTACAGTGGTCATAGTAATCTTTCAAGTTGGATGGGATACCAATAGGTATTTAATAGACACACAGCTAACATATGCTTTTTACTATTTAAACATAGAAAAGCAAAAGATTCACTTCTTAGTTATGGACTCATATTAAACCAGGCAGCAGCTAATAACACACAACACAAAGTGATGATGGATTATCAGTGGGAAATTGACGTGGACATGCCTGAGTATACATATGCATGCTACCCAAAGTCACTGTCATTTTAGAGAGGCTTAGGACACGGGAAAGCTATTGTCATGTGGCATGGTTTTATACTCTAAACTTTAAGTTTTTTTTGCTTTGCTGCAAAAATGTGATGAACAAGAATCCTGATGAACTCTCATCGTTTCTTTGTTGGAGTTTCTGACTGGCATTTTGTGGACTGAGTAGCAGTGCGCTGGCCACAGTGCTCTGTTGTATTAAGTTGCCTTTACTGAGCAGTAAGTTTAGTTTGAGCTTGCTGTTGTGGAACTGGAAGTGTATATCTGGTAAAAGAAACGGTTAAGTTCCTTACTAAGCGGCCTTTGCTGAAGTTACCGTTCTGTCAGAAGTATGCTTTAGCACTCCTCCTCTCTTCCCTATTTCTGTGTTGTTTTATCTGCATTTTATTTTTCACATGGGGAGGTGGAAGGCAGGATTAGAAGACTGGCAGGCCTGCATTTAAAGTTAGTTCTGCTGGGCAGTGATCATATAACTGCAGGCAAATTAACTCTTTTTAGAACTTCCTTGCGTGTAATAAAATTTACTTTCTAATTTATTGTGAAGACTCAGCACAAATAAAGCAGCTGGCAGACGCTTTTTAAATGTTAGTTCCCATTTCTTTGTCACATGACTTATAGCTAAAGACTTCTCCAGTTAATTATTTCAATGTAATGTAGAATGCTGAGAAATATTTTTCACTAAATATATGATTATATTTAAGAATTTAAGATTTAGCTTTTTTATTTACAGGTTAAGAACTTGTTATTTTATTTATTATGACCTGGATAATTTTTGTCCAATATAATGGGAAATGCCTACTCATAAATTTTAATACAATGAAATAGCAATGTTAGTTCCATGAACTAGTAGTTGTAATTTTTTTTTTTTTGTACTAGGGATCAAACTCACAACCTCATGCTTGCCCGGCAGGAGCTGTAACAGCTGAGCTAAATCCCCAGCCCAGTCGTAATATTTTTAAAAAATTAAATTCTTTTAGTTGAGTGAAATAGCAACATTAGCATTTTTTTTATTTTAACATACTTAAAATTCTATAAAGTTTTAATGGCTAGCACATCTTAGTTTTAATTTTTCTGTTTTGTGTAGGCCACATTAAATACGCTTTTAAGATTTACTGCACAGCATATGAATATTCAGAAACATCTTACTGTCTCACTAGAAAACCTAACAAAGCTTATTACAAAGCTGTTTTCCTGGACTTAAAATCAAAGCCTGTTTGTGTATATTCTTAGTGACTGGTTTGGGGGAAAGAGGAATGTTTGACACCTTGTTTGTAGTTTTTCCTGTTTAAAAGCCTTGGTACTTGTTTTGATTGTCTCCTCTCTGTTAGTGCTCCTGTGGATCCCCACAACTGTATGCTTGTTTGGTGCAGTCTTAATGCCATGCTGATCAAACCTTATGCTAATGTTCCTAAGAGACTCTTTTATGATTTTATACTTGCTTCAAATGTTCTGTGAGTGGGTTTACTTAGGCTTTGCTGATGGGTAGAAACATCGTGAAAAGAGTGGTATTTACCTCTCTTGCAGGACTGTAGGGTGTCTAGCAAAACTGTGTAAAATGTTCATCACCATGGAAACATACCAACTTCTGGGTTGAGTGTTTTCAGTACACTGTGATTTTCACCTTACTGAGTGCAGCATAGAGCAGTTAAACGGGGCACTGGCCATCAGAGTTCAGGGATGAAGCAGCAATGACGTCAGTGTTTAGACTGTCTGCTCAGTATTTCTAAAACAAAAATCTATGTGTCCACATGTGTTGTCTTCACTAGCATATTAGAATTTTATTGATTGATTGACTGATTGATTGATTGTCTTTTTGAGACAAGGTCTCTCTGTGCAGTTTAGGCTGGCCTTGAGCTCACTTTGTAGCCCAGGATAATCTTGAACTTATAGTGGTCCTCCTGCTTCGGCCTCCTGGCACTGGGATTACAGGTGTGTGCCACCATGCCTGGCTGTATATTAGAATTTTATTTAAAATTTTTAAAATTTTAGTTTAAAGAGGATAAAACAGAATAAAACCAATCAAAACAAACCACTGTAAAAGATTACAGGACTTCAACAAAATCAACAACAGTTACCATAAAGCCTTTTGATGTCTTCAAAATAGCTGCAGATAATTTCAGACAGAGTAAAAGTCAAACAGAACAGAATAGAATAGAAACAATAAAAACAAAACAATGAATGCAATAAAGGATTTCAAAACAAACCAATAGTATATCCAAAATTGCTACCATAATATATCTTTCTTTAAAATAGTTCTCCTGCCATCAGATTTAACATGATCAAACAAAACAAAAGAGAATAAAACCCAACCAACAAAACAGTGGAAATGATATAGGGCTTCCAAAACAAGACCATAGGGAATCAACAATGGCTGCAGCCCTCAGGAGGAGACCCCCCCTAGATACCACACTGTGTACTGCTGTCATCTTAACCTATGAGATCAGACCACTGGCCCTAGGCCTGCAGTGTTAGTGAAACACCAAGGCACTGCAGGCATCCAATTGCATTTTACCATGATAGCTATCATCACAGCCTGTGTTTCTCTGGATAAGCTGGTCACTTATGGGGAGAAATAGGGGAGGATGACTGGTACTTCTTGTTTGCTAGGCCATGCGCCAGAAGGTGCTGGGGTCTGGCTGTTCCCAGGCTGGCCATGGTCTGCCCATGGTGCTGGTTCCCATACCAGGTTTGCTTGCTAGTGTGGCCTTGTTTTTTCTCCCCCCGAGTCTGCAAGTGGCACTGACTCACGGGGAGAGGCTTGTTTCCAGTCGGGCAATGGCTCACACATGGCACTAGTTCTCAGACTGGGCTTGTTTTCTGGTATCTAGAATTTTAGAAACTAGTTTTTGGGAGCATGTTTCAGATGGTTCCCACTGTTTAGTTCCTGTATCATAACCCAGCACCACTGCACTGCTTAGCTCAGACAGCCTAACACATACACCATGCGTGTTGTGTGTTGGGAAGCCCTGCTGGTTAGCTCATATTCTTGAGGGCCAGCTGGGGACTGGGGAAGACAGAATGGGAGTGTAGTACATCCTACCAGAGCACCCCCTCCTCTTATCTTATTCCACTTCTCAAAATGGTTAATGTGTAATAAGACTATTGCTTAGGAAAAGAGGAAGAAGGAGAGGAAAGGGTGGTGGTTGTGTTTTGGTCTCCTGAATGGTTTGGAAGCTGTGAAGTGAAGGATAAAGGAGTCTGCACTAAAGTAGCAGTGTGTGGCCGCAGCATGTTTGGGCGCAGTATGTTCTGTGATTGCTTCTGTCTCGCCTCCTTGAGTGATGCTGCCTGCCAGCAGAGCTGACGTGTTAAACTGCAAACCTGCTGCTTTCTGGCTCCCTGGTGTCCTGCTGGCGCCCTCACATCTCTGGGAGCATTCCATGTTCCCCAAGGCCAGCCCTGTGGCAAGAAAGTGCCACTTCCTCTCTGAGGCCTTTGTAGAGCCTGGAGCGCTTCTCTGGAGTCATTTCCTTTCTGTGTTGGATTTGCTGAACTGGGATGCTATGGTTAGGTGCACTGTATCCTTGCAATTCATATGTGTAAAAGAAAAGGACCAAATCAGAGTGAGTGCATGTGTTGGATCTTTATAACTTCCATTTTTAAGCTATTGTAATGTGATATGAAAAATATATGATGTATGAGAAACACAGAAATACTTTTTGTTGTGTTAGGTGCTGCCATTACAAAATATCAGTATAAACTTTACATTCAGGTGCAGAAACAGTCACACAATAACTTTTGGGAGTATAAGGCAGTTTCTCTTTTTGTCTTGTAGGAGAATTATTATATTTAAAAGTCTGGCCTCTAGTTTGGTCCTGAGGTTAGAATTTATTTTACATTTAAAACATGTATAATGATTATGTATTATATATTCCAGCTTCATGAATTTATGAAAATTATATCTCATAAAAAAGAGAAACCTAAAATATAAATGAATAAAGGAGAGATGGTAGGAAGCAAGGGAGATTTTGAGATGGACTGTTATAAGGGGAGTGAGAAGACGAGAGGTGAGAGAGGAGGAGAGAAAGGGATTGAGATTAACCAGGGTATCAGGTGCTTACAGTTCTCACAGTAAGCACCGCTCTTCTGTATTGCAAATATATGTGAATAAAAGGAAAAAAAGAGCGCTGTGTAATTGAGATCTGCCTGTGGCATTCATGACGTCGGACTGCGTGGGGGAATAGTTCTTTAGCTGCCCGCTAGAGGGCTCCGGAGGCTGGGAAGAACTGGCGGAATGCGCCCTGCCAGCCAAAGGCACCTTGTACGTGGCCCCACCTGAGCCCTCAACTAGAATCAGAGAAATTCATGAATCAGCTTTCTCTGTGGAAGATATGAGGAAACTAATCAGTTGTTTAAAAAGTGCTGTAAAATATTTTTATGGATAATTTTGAAAACTATTCCAAGCTTAAAACATTTTCTATAATTTTGAAATCTAAACGTAAACTATAATCATTTAGTGTTTTTCTAATAAGTACAAATTTAATTTGATAGTTATAAACATAAATTTTCTTCCCTCTCAGAGATTATTTTATGCTTTCTTATAGACAGAAGTCTAATTGTTTATAAAGGAAAATATTAAAATTTTATCTCCATTACATTTTTCAGGGAATCCGAGCCCGCATTTTGGAGACTCTTGTCATGCTGCTGCTTCTTGCTTTACTGATTCTCGGGATAGTTTGGGTGGCTTCCGCACTGATTGACAACGACGCAGCTAGCATGGAGTCTTTATATGGTATAGATGTCCTTGCTGTAACCAGTGCCTGTCCAGGAGACCATGGGATGGGGCCTAGTTACCTAGGACTTTACATCTTGGTATGCCGAACCCTCAGTGTTAATTCGCAGAGTTGGGAAGTCTTTAAATATATTCAGTAAAGGAAATTAATGTTTGTTTCATATATGCAGAATGGTTAAGTAACAGTTTAGATTTTCTTTTGACTAATTGGCTTTTGCTTTTAACATTCCATGGAGGCATTTTTTTCTTCTGAATAGGTTTTGCAAAAGGTTTATTTCCTGTTCTCATGTTTTAGATCTTTTTATTTTATAATTTAGAAATTAGATGATTTAATTCAGTCAAAATACGCAGTTAACAGCAGCACTTAATACACATTTAATGTACAGTATTTTTTTCCAAATCCATTTTATTTCATGGAGAAAAATAAAATGAAATAAGATAAAAAGAACTAAAACAAAACACATCAATCAGGGAGCAACAATGGTATATTCATTGTGCATTGTCATCCCCAAATCATTTAATCAGAGCATAAGACATCTACATTCAATCGTCTGAACAACACTGGCACAAATCTTTCTCTTCAGTGAACTCAGAGAAGTGGAGTATAACTATCGTTAACTATTTTTTAATATACATATATATTTGTTGTTTCAGCTTCTCACTAATGAGACAATATGATGTTTATGCACGTGTGCATTTTTTATTTCACTAATGAGTATGTTCTCAAGTTGAATCCACTTACCTATAAAAGTTTCCAGTTTATCCTTCTCTTTGGCTGAGTAGTGCTCTGTTGTATAAAAATACATCTTTTTTGTCCATTCCTTAGTCAGTGGGTATTTAGGTTGTTTGCAAGAGCTGGCTATTATAAATTATGCTGCTGTAAACATGGAAATGTGCAGTATTTTGAACTTAATAAAATGTATTTATATTTTTATAGATCTCTGGGAGTTCTACCTGCCCTATTTATATTCCTGTATATCATTGATGGGATGTTTGTTACTTCTCTGTAAGTATTTTTCTGATTTAGTATTGACAGGAAAGTAAAATTGTCCTATATTCTGGAAAATTATGTGAAAGTGTCCTGGTGAGATTCCTTAACAACTTGAAGATTGTTTTGAGTTACCACTATTTTTTTTTATTACTCAAATTTTGATAAACTGAAGGCTTGAAATAATAAAGAATTTTTGTTGTCCTCCAGAGAAAGTCTTTTCCACTGAGTTGGGGAGTGAGAGATACCCTGCTACTCACACACATACACTCAACATGCACATCTGTGTACAACATGTCCTGTATCCACCCTGCTTCCATCACAAGACTCGAGCCTACATAATTACTGGATGGCTTTATTTCAAAACTTGCTTTGTCCTACTTGAGGCATCGCATCCTGTCTCAAGGGTGCTGTGAGGCATAAAACACAGTTCCAAGGATTTAAGTCTGTATGTGTCTATTCTGATTCTCAGTTCTAGTGCAGTCTGCTGTTTTTCTTTTAAGAAAAAGTATTTACTGCTACTCAGCTGCTAGACTCTTCACTATCTCAAGCCTTCTTTCATCTGCACATATCTTTTATTAAATGTGGTAATGCCCAGCCTCCTCACACTGCCTGCTAGCTTCTCTATTGATGAAGCTGGAAAACCCTCTGACAAAGCCCTGGGAGTCTAACTGGGAGACTGAGCACACTTTAAGATCGTGATGCGTGGGTTACTGTGTTTCCCTGTGGGCTGGCAGTCTCTGTGTCTGAGTCTGAGGTCTAGTCTGCTCTCATTCCTGCAGTGTGTACACCAGTGGGCCTCTCCCGCATGTTCACAGTCATGGGTCAATTGCTGGTGAAGCCAACAGTAAGTACTTCATTATAAATTATTTTGTTGGTTAAATGCATATGTTCACACTTGAACATTGCTTAGATGTGAATTAGCACTTAGAAGCAAGAGTATTTTCTTAGGTTTGTCACTCAAATTCTTACTGTTTTTTTAAAAAAAATTCTTGTATTTTTGGAAACTAGATGTTTTTGCTTTTAAAATACAAAAGTCACTTGGGTAAAACTTTGTCTAGCCAATTTTAAGGTAAAAATTGCTCTTATTTACAGGTATTTTAGATATTCATTGCCTTATATCAAATAATAATTTATTGCATCTATACTTTGATTTAATAGAACAGATATGTTCCTGAAAAATGTGTATATTATCTCTTCATTCTTTGAATTATACTTTGCCTTTTGTCTCAGATATACTATCTATTCATTTTTAAATGATTTTCAACTAGTAATTATTCTAATGATTATTCCTAAATTTCTTTGGTCTTTATTTTGTCAAATACTTAATAATGTGAAAATAACTTTTTAGCTGTACCTAGGAAATTTGTTATTTAGATTATTTTCTTGGATTCCCCCTTGCCTACGGACTCAAGTTTGAGCTACTTGCATGCTACAGGCTTTCAGAGACTGGGACCTCCACTGATCCCCACCTAGCATGGCTGCACATCCCCTTCCTGGGTGGCCTCTACCCCTCCAGCGTCTTCTTCGCTGAACTCTAGCAGCATCTGTAGTCACTGAGTCTTGTCTCCCCTCTCTAGGTACATGTGATCAGATGCTTCCTTCCCCTTAGCTTGTATCATTAGCAAAACCAGGCCTCACATCATTTGGGTGGTGGGGGTTGTCTTCCCTTCTGTGGTGATTCATAAGGAAAACACTGAGGAGTGTTACAATGGTAATTTTTAGTAAATGCTTGTTTGAATTTGAAAGTTATGGTTTTTTCATCCTTCTTTTTAAAATAAAACCTGATGTCTTACTTGCTAAATAAATTAAAGCACACTCAATCCAGCATGATGCATGCACAAAGCCTTGAAATTTGCACCCTTCTTAAAAAGATTTTATAATGCTGTGTTTATTTAGTTTCTTCCTGTTTCTTTGTTTTTTTTGTCTTTTTCTCCATGTCCATTTCCTATAGAGATGCTTATGGTTCTGTTTGTGATCTACCATTCAGTTACTACCCTGCTCTGGACCATCTCTCCATTGCCCCTCAACGTCCAATTCTAAGAGACCTATGGTGCTATGTGTTCCATAGTGCTGTGGATTCCTCCTCTGTGAAACCAAACTGTGTATTGATATCTGTTCCCCAAGCTTATTTTTCTCCCAAATATCTCTCTTATTAACAATATCTGCAAAATCCTCAGTTATTTTTGTCTCTTTTTCTCTTCTTATATCCAGTAACAGTCATCAGTTATTGTCTGCCTACCACATGTAGTGATAAACACTTTCATTAGGCACCCAGAATTTTATATGACCCTGAAGAAGACCTGTGAGTGAGGTGGTTGTGTTCTCATTTGCTGGCTGGGTTCACTTCAGTGCAGTAGGTTGGGTAGCGTATCCTAATTCACAGAGTTGTACTATGGGGCCGGTCTGAACCCTGAGGCTAACTCTAGAGGCCAGACTGTGGCGCTCTGCTTGTTCCTCTGCCTCCAGAGCAGTCTAACTGCGTTCTTGTGTCGGGGGCCCTGCATTTTTCCTCATCTGTGTTCTCCTCTGGCTTCCTCTGCTTGCAGTGCTTGCTCTCTTCTTAGTAATACAGGCTCTTGGCGGAGTTCTGCAGCAACCAGGAATGCCCGCCAGACCTTTCTCTCCCCTACTAGAAGTAATCTTTGTGCCTCTGATGTTTTGTAACATTTTAAGACTCAGTTTTGACATTTATTTTAATCCTATAATTAATTTTTAATTAATCTTCTCTCTTCTGGTACCACTCGAGGTCAGGACTGTGCCTTACCTGCATCTAAGCCTGTATTAGTCACAGTGGTTACAAAAGTAGGCCTTTTGGGAGGCTTCTGTTTCTTGGAATACAAAGTGATGATGACAGTCTGTTTCTCACAGTCGTGGAAAGCAAGAGGAGTGATGTTCCCAGGCACTCAACACATATCCCTGTGACATCTCAAGTTGTATCTGTTGTCATAAGTAATTACTTGATAATTTGTACTGTGAGATAAATGTCCATTTGACAGCTAACCATGGTCAGTTTCCATCAAAGCAGCAGAAATGACAAGAAATGATGAGAAAGAATCTTCTTTCATGGCCCACAAAGATAGGGCCCCTGTTACTTATGTGTAGTGACATTGTTGAGGGCTCCTCTACTTTTAATTGTTATCCAGTCAGTCCTGGCAGTGGGTCTCCATCCCTCAGGCCTGTCACTTGTTTTGCCCACATGGCTGGCTTGTTTTGTTGCTGGAGAGGCTTTTCGTTTTTCTTCCTCTCCCTTATCCCCCATAGTTTGAGTATTCTCTGTTGTTACTCTGTTTGTGTTAATTTATTCTTACTGTTTGTTCTCTCTCTTAGGTTTAGGCTTCCCAAAGGTAGAGATAGTATGTTGGCCAGAGATTAGTAGAGTGCTAGGCCACAGGGGACCTCAGGTATTTGTTGAAAGAGTGGAAATTTTTGGATTGCTTGATATAAATTTCACATGAACGGTATAAATTTGAAGCCTGAAAAGGGACCATGTGATTTAAGGCTGATTAGGCAGCTGAATGGGCACATGGATGTATTTTGCTGAGAATAAGATGTTAATATTTGAATGATAGAGAACATTAAAAGCAGCTCTTGACTTCTTTAACATTCTCCCTAGTGCTGGGAAGACAGAGAGACAGAGAGACAGAGAGACAGAGAGAAAGAGAGACAGAGACAGGGAGAAGGAGAGGGAGAGGGAGAGAAAAGAGAGAGAGAGAGATAGAAAGGGAAACAGAGACCATTCATAGAGGGATAGCTGTATTAGCAAAGTGAGAGAGAGAGAGAGAGACCACTCATGGAGAGACAGCTGTATTAGCAAAGAGAGAGAAAGGATTCATAGAGAGATAGCGGTATTAACAAAGCTAGAATTGAACAAATTTAGGTTTTATCACTTTTGAAAATAGTGTAGATAGTACCCATATAACTGGTGATTTTTAGTGAGCCCCCCCCCCCCAAATAGCTTGGTAGTGAATGGCTTATTTATAAACACACCATTTCAGTAGGATTCTGTTGGCTGACTTCTTGGCTTTTTATTTTTATTATTTTTTGGTTCTCAACTTATTTTTAAAATTATAACCTTGAACCCATATTAATTGTACACATTATGGGGATTACTTTGATATTTCTGTGCATGCATATGTCCTACATTGGTCATGTTCATGCTGAATGGTTTTTATGATTCCATTTATGGAGTACCTCTAGTATATAATGATGAAGGTTCTGCACATGACTGATGTACTTTGCAGATTTCTTGTCATGTGTCATTGACTACACAATTGGCCTAGATTAGATAATCTATTCCTTTTATCTCAAAAATAGTGGCTGGGGCATAAAGATAGCTCTTTCTTTCTTTCTTTTAAGCTTTTTGGCTATTTAAAATTTATGCATTTGTTTGCCATTGAGAAATTTGGAGAATTTTTTATTTTAATCCTTTAAGCTTAAAAGATACCCAGTTTATCTGGTAGTACAGTCCTATAAACCCAGCATTCTGGGAGGTTGAAGCAAGAGAATCACAAGTTCAAACTCAGCCTGGGCAACTTAGTGAGACTGTGTCACACACACACACACACACACACACACACACAAAAATAAAAAGGGGGGGAGAACTAGGGCAGTAACTCAGTGCAAAGGCCATGGGTTCAACTACTGTTTCCCAGTCCTTAATTTAAATATATGTAGATTTTCAGATAATCAAGTTTTGATGTTTAGTTATATATTAAAATAGGAAAATATTAAATATAAACTCAGGAAAATATACTTAATTATGAAAAATAGTTCAAACATTTTTATGTTGAGTTCTTAGTTATTTCAGTGAATACAGTATCTAAAATGATAGACCAAGTAACCTAAACATTTTTATAAGCACAGAGTTTGTAATGTTACATTATTGAATAGTTTTATCCTTAAATTTAGATTCTTGAAGACCTGGATGAGCAAATTTATATTATTACCCTAGAGGAAGAAGCACTCCAGAGGCGGCTAAATGGTATGTGTATATTTAGACCAGGCTAAAAGAAAACTATTTTAATCAAAAGAGACAAATAATTGAAGGGGAAAAAAAAAATCTAAACCTCCCAGAGACTTAAGGGTAACAAAGAACTTTCCTGTGAAAGGGTTTGCTTAGAGTCTGCTAAGGATGAACTATGACCAGCAGGACTAGCTCCCACTGAGACTGCGGCCGCTGGGTGCCAGCAGACCTCCACCACCAGCTCTGCAGACACTTGCAAGTGCAGAGACGCAGCGCTCAGGCCTGTGCTGCATTTCCTGTGTATTTGGACCTTAAGGGAAGTATTGCAGGTTTCTTTGGCACAGAGGGGCCAAATGTGCCAAACTGTCATTTAGCAACCCTTTTGTTTGGCAGTATTGTTAATTATCAGAGTTAGCATGTCGAAGATTGTTTAATTTTAAGTTACTGATCATTTTTGCCTCCAGTGAAGAAAAGAGTAATGACATAATTTAATAGAGAAATAACATAGTGTAGGTAAATTAATTTGCAGTAATTTTCACCCTGTACTTTTTTATACAATCTTTAAGAAAAGCGTCAGAAAGGAACCATCCCTCACCAAAATCGGGTTATTATATTTTCAGAATCATAATTTTAAAGATTGCATAATTTTAAAGTAGGTATAAAGTAGTAAGTTATATTAAATATGGACTATTGAGAAATAGGAAATGTCTTTCTTTAATTGCAAGCAATACATTAATCCAAAAGAGCTGATAAAATTTACAGCTTTGTCCTCAAATCAAAAAATTCCAGTTTGTATCTGTTCTAGAGAATTTTTTTGTGGGGGATACTGGAAATCAAACTCAGGGCCTTAGGCTTGCCAGGCAAACTGTGCTTCTGAGTTATATTTTGTTGGTAACATCATTGTAGCGGTTGATACACTGTGTCAACTTGAGAAGTTTAAGCAGTTCAGTAGGGGCCAGGGTCCTCACCTTGTAAACACCCTCATCCTGCACAAGAGGAGGGCACTGAGATGGTGTGAGTGCCACACACACCAAGAGCGGACAAGCTGTGTACAGTATGAAGGAGGGAGAGAGGCTTGCTCTCCCTCCTTTCTGCTCATGTCATTTTTGCCATCTTCTGCTGCTGTGAACTGTTGCCCCTCACCAAGCCCTCCTGTCTTGGAACCACCTGATTGTAGACCGAAACCTACACAAAGCTAAATAAAACTTTGCTTCCTTAATTTTGAGTGTTGAATATTTTGTCCCAGCAGAGAGAGATAAGTAACTAAGCCAATCATGTACAGATAACTTTAGAACTGGAACTATATATCTTTTATTCTTCTAACTTTATTAAAGCTACTTTAATATTTAAGCTTATTTAATGTCAGCATTAAAAACTGTAGTCCACAATGTTAGTTTTATAAAATTTTGTTAAAGTAGTAGATATTGAAATTAATTTGTCTCATGTAGAAGAGCATTCCTGAGTTGCAAAAAGTAGGTGTCAGTCTGCTTCCTGTACTGTGGGATTATGTTTTTGGCTGAGGTACATGCTGTTTCTGTCTTGCAGAACAGAAAATGGAAAATACGGTGCTTTATGAATTAAATGATTTGCATTAAGTCTAATCAAAGTAAAATGTAGCCTGTTCTTTTCCCATCCTGCAGGAAGGAAAGTTCCTTTTAGAACCCATTTCAGTCCTTTGACTTAAGATAGTTCATTATTTGTAAAGAAACTGAAGGAGAGGTACTTTCTAGAGAGGAAACCAAGCTTAAAAACATCCCAATCAGTATAGGAGATGGCTTGGGTTCAGACAAGATTGGGGGTTTTAGAGTGCTAGGTGTTTCATTGTCGTGGTCAGCCGCGCAGCCATTTGCAGCTGTTCTGGTGGCAGGTTGTCCTTAGTCTCTTCAGGAACCCTCCTTAGTGTTGATTATTATGATTTTGCTGTTTGCTGCTGATCAGCCTCTGTGGATGACTTCAGGTACAAAATAATAGGCTAAGCAGTGTATGCTTGTTATATAAATGACTACAGCAAAACTGACATTGTGACCAGTGGATTAAAGATTGTGAGCTTCAATAGCATGCACTGATCAGTATGTGCTGAGGAACAAGATGCAAAGAGAGCAACGTTTCATGATTTACTGGTTTTAAAGAAAGTGCAGAAAGAAGTTAAGTAGGATAAACCATTTCTATGGATTTTATTTAATCCAGAATTATGGCAAATGTATGTTGTCATAACAATTATTTAAATTTTAAAACAAAAAGGAAGTTGTATTTTTTTACCCTTGTATTGAAAAGAATTGCAGAATGAGAGTAAAATACTTTTAAAAATATGCGTTATAACGCTAATTCATCACAACATGCGGGGTGGTGTTTTGCTAATTGCATGCTGTGTGTGTCAGGCTGTGCAGTGCACAGTATGGGAGCTGTGGGAATGTGTATGGTTGCCTTCCAGCTCAGTTTCACATCACCTGAAAAACATGGTAGCCGAACAATGACAAGAGGTGGTTACTGTAGGAATCACACTAATTTTTTTCAAGACAGTGGCAGTGTAGCTTTTGGCAATTATTATGTGCTGGGAATTAAATTTTCATGTCCCATTTAAAAAATAACAGTGTGGTGGGATGGCCCACTGTGATTTTCCTCTTGTTCTTAATTGACATTTTGTGGTGCCCTTGGTTTAAGACTATTAATATTGTTACTATTTCATAAAATATTTCAATAAAATGAAGCAAAACTGTGCACTGCACTGTTGATTTAGAAGCCATGCTATCATCCACCTGCCGCTGCTATCTCCACTGTGTATGTGACCCATGTTCTCAGCAGCAGATGCAGTGCAGATGAACCACGGCACTGGTGTTTCAGGATGTGGAAGAAGGAAGGGTAAGAGCGTAGCGAGACACATGAAAAAGAAGGCAGGCACTCAAGCGTTGGGAGGGGCTCATGCAGCGCCATCTGGTCAGCTGGAGGCATGGAGGGCTCTGTGTCCCCGCCTCCTGTCCGGTCTCTCAACTGTGGGACTCTGGGTGCCCTGTGTGGTGTTCAGGCTCCTCATTTCTCTGTGTTCCACTTCTGATGCAGTTTTCCACTTTTCTCTGGTGCCATATTTTCTGCCTGTGCCATTTAGAACTGAGAGCCCCTAACAAACATTGCTGGATTTTCAGTTTTTTGGTCAAAGAAACGTGGCTTCCAACAGCACCTTGGCACTGCCCAGAACCCTCTTGTGTTGGACTGTGTTCTTCCCAGAGTGCTCCCTGCTTCTGGGGTTCTGGTAGATGTCCTCTTCTTCCCCCAGTGCTCTCTAACCCTTGGACTCAGTACTACCTCCTGTGCTGGCCCTGCCCTCTCTTCTCTCAGGCTGCCTCACCCCCTTTCTTGACCCCTTGCTTGAGTTCCATTAGTGGTGTATCCCTGCTTATGTCCTTCCCAGCACTCTGGGCAGTTCCTTGCTCTGTCTAGCTGCTGCTTTGTGTGCCTGTGACGGAGCCAGGCCTTGCCCTCATCAAGGACTCGAGTTTTTGTATGTCTCCTGTCGGATCACACCCTGACTGCCACCTGTGCTTCCTCACACCTGTCATGCACTCACTCGTGCAGTGCTCGTCCCCTGGGGTTCTTAGATCACAGACCCAGCTCTCTCTGGCAAGCCTCTCAGCTCCTTCCTGCCAGCCTTTCTTCATTTGCTCTCACCATGTAGCTGCTGTTCAACCTTGATTTGCATGGCTGATAGTTCAAGTCTGCTTTAGATTCTCCTGGGTGATGTTTCATTCTTCAGCCCTTCACCTTTTTCATCTCAGCTGCTACATTGTTTCTCATTTTCTGGAGAAAATGTTTCCAGAAAATGGTTCCCAGCTGGTCCACCTCCACACCACTGTCCTCTTGCATGCTGCCTCTTGTCCTTCTCCCTGATTCGGGGAGCTGACTTTGACCGTTTTGTGCTCTGCTGCATGACTGGTCCACAGACATATGCTCTGCTGTTTCCAGAGAGCTGTGGGTTCCATCTTACCTGTCAAGTGTAGCTCTGCCAAGTTTCAGAGAGCTGTAAGAGGTGGGTTCTCATGGGTGCAGCTCTGGCTTTATGCTGCTTATTTTTGCTTCTGGTCCTCTCCAGACTGCTGTTGTCAGACTGGCCTGTGACTCCATAGTCCTCATGTTACTCTCTTTCCTCGTTGAAATATTTTTTATTCCACTTGGTTTTCAGTTTTTCAGTTCACTCTTTCTTTCTTTGTCTTTTTGAGACAGGGTCCCACTGTGCAGTTAAGGCTGGCTTTGAGCTCACTTTGTAGCCCAGGCTGGTCTGGAACTTACAACTGCTAGGATTACAGGAGTGCGCCACCATGCCTGGCTTTAGTTCACATTTTCTTGTTCCTTTTATTATTACTTTAGATGGAGTTATGCTATATTATCCAGGTTAGCTTCTAACTCACGAGCCTCCTGTCTCTGCTTCCCAGAATAGCTGGAATGTCAGAAGTGTACCACCATGTCCTGCTCCCTTTAGAGGCTTATCACACACTTAATATCTTTTCCTAGACTTAACAGCCTGCTTCTTCTCAGTCTGTCTACTGGATTTCCTGTGTCCAAAGCTGCTTTAGCCTGGCTTGCCTTGTGCCTCAGTACTTGCCCTTGGCTGGTTGCACACACTCCCTTGTTAACTCCTCTGGTCTCGTGTCATTAAATCCTGTCTGTAAGCTCATGATCTGTGCTGAGTTTGAGGATCCAGCTGTTAAGTAGTTAGTTGCACCTGGGCGTTCAGTAGACATTTTGAACATCACCAGCCAGATCAGCTCATGACCTCGATCACTTCTCTGCAGGTGGCAGATCATCTCTCAGGTGATAGCTAAGTGGTCTTGTTCCCTTCTACTCAGATCCCTTCAGCAAGCTTGTTTCTCTAGCTTTAGGGAAACTCTAGAACCTGAACGTGCCTGACACTGCCTTGTACCACCTTGGTTTGAACAGCTGGCACCTCTTGGTGAAATTTCACAGGAGCTTCTTGTTTCTTTCATGTATGACTTTGGCCTTGTGAATCAGATCTCACTTAGTGCCTC